GAACGAGAGAGGCTTACCAACTTACTTGAAACTTTTTTATTAGCGACCGACTCAACGATAGCAAAAATGCCAATGTTCTTTGTAGAGACAGATGGAGAATTTACATGAATCGACGAAATCAGATTTAGGCGAAGGCAGAAATGAAGTACTATCCGCTACACTACGAGTTAGTCTTATACAGGCTGCGGGAGAAGGTGAGTGCTCTAGATAAGGCCCCTCATTGAACATTGACTTGATTTTTTCAAACTTCCCACACAAAATAACGAGATTTTTGCTTAGTGCAGAAAACCCATTCCTTGTCTCCGTGAGCAGTTTATAAAAATCCAAATGAAAATTTCCCGCTTCCGACAGTTGAGACATGACCAGCGTAAACTCTCTCTCATTTTTCTCTGGATTTATTGCTTCATTACAGATTAACGTAAACAGATTCTGTGAATTTAAACTATCAGTTAGAGTTTTGAAATAGAAATCACTATTTATTATTCACACATGTACACATCAATTTACGTAACAATTAATTCGTTTGCTATGCTTTATTTCCTTCGCAACTGACTTCAATTATCTCAACTAAGTTTTGCCATTACCAGGTATGTAAACACGAAACCAAAATTTGCTCACAGTGGCCTTAACGCCACGTATAGAGGAAATATATGCTTGAAGTATAGTGCAGCAGTGTTCTTTTTTTTGTATAGATTTACCATACGGCAACCATAAGTAATCGTAATACCAATGCGTGGTGTAACGAAAAAATAGCTTTTTCTAAGAACGTAAAGGTCGAGGTTAATCGGGAAAGCATCGCAAGCCGGCGTTATTGACAGGCCACACATAGACCCGTTAAATTCCGTCTATGCTGCTATTCCCTAGTCTTCGACACGACCGCCCTGCTACACCTAAATTGAAGCGTGTTGCCGTTTAGGCATTATGTGCAGTCCATTGTTATTCTTAGATATTTTATAGCTTCTTTCGATCAGTATATGTACCAGTGTTATCCACTTTAAATATAAACTTTTCCAGCTTCTTCCTTAAAATTATTTGCACCGGTTTTTTGTGTGTGTTTGCATGTACGCGTTTGTATACACGCGTGTGTTGTTTTACATTTCATTTGTTTGTCTTGCCCGAATTCCTTTCATGTTTTTCTTTGTAATTTTCTACTCATGTTTGTTACGTTTCGTTTACATTTACACGGAATTTATTTTCGTTTGTTTTTGATTGCTTCGGTTAACGATTTTTAGGTCAATGTATATCGCGTGCTTATCATTTCTTTCAGATTTATTATATAATTTTTAACCTTTTCTGCTCCTACTGTTACGGTTATGGAACTGTGAACTCAAGGTCGACTGTGTAGGTATTTAAGCTTCCGTTCCATGATTGATATCTAAAAAACGAAATCATTAACAAATCGATTTAACACTTTTCTTAACCAAGAACCTGGAAAGATTTGTAAAGTTGAAGTGATGAATGTGGGATACACATAACACTTCTTTTTTGTTTTTAACAATAACTAAGCAATTACCCGGACGATAGAGTTTGAAGATCAGTTATAAGAATAAGAGGACCACTGGTCCTTGTTGCGAATTTCTCCTTCAAGCCGGCAGATTAGAAAGCCATTATAAAGGGTTTGAATAGGCGAAGGTCTTCCCCGTACTTGATTAAAATCATTGACAGCTACTTGCATGAGAGAAATCTACTGTATAATACACATGATTACAGCCAAAAGGCTCCATTTTAGGTCCCTTATTCTCTGGATCTGATGTATGACAGCCTGTTCAACATGGGACTTTTAAAAGTGTTACGGATAAAGCATTGGCAACTGCAACTGCCCTGAGCTAAACATAAACGGATCAAAATAAGCGAGGCGAAAACTTGTATGTAGCGTAAGCTATAATGATGACGACCGCACCCATTTGGACAGAAAAAGAATTACAAAATAAAACACCTCCAACGATTGCTAGAAGTTTGGAAGTAGGAATGTTACCCATTGAGCAGCTGCTTAAGGAGGAACTATAAACCCAAAGCGCGAAAAACGAAACAAAACTATTTGAAGACCGCGGAGTTAAATCAGCGGTAGGAAAACGACACAAAAGGAAGGCTCCCCCACTCCAAATCTTGAACAATGAATGGCGAAAACACACGGAGAAGTCCATTTTTTTCTAATCCAAATTTTGACGGGTCACGGAAATTTCTCGAGTTATTTGTGCCGTTTCAATTTACGAGCAGATAACGCATGCACCCTGCACCAAAGCATGCACGAGGACGCACAGCATAGTGTTATAGCATAGTGCCTGGCTTTGGCATGTCTAACCAACCTGCTTTCCATGTCTCTGTATGTAGAAATCATATCGCGCACCTGGTTGTGGCCATGCCGGAGGCATGCTTCGGTATAAAGGCACACGAGACGACATCCGAACCCCTAATCTCATGCGAGAACAGGGGAGTACGATGATACAGTGAGGATCAACAATCAATAAAGGTGAATTTTGATGTAATGTGAACACATTTGCAGGATGATTTTACCCCAATCTCGTTGATAGCGCGCTGCTACTACATCTATAAAAATAGAAGAAAATAAATGAGAAAAAGACATAGATATCGATGTGTGTAGATAAGAGTAACTGTTAGCATTTCTGGTGCAAGAGTGCATTAACCATACGCTAATGTTTACAACATTCAGAAAGACTAAAGATAGGTCCACATTTTGTTCTGACAGCCAATTTCGGAATTAAGTTAGGCTTCTTCGTGTTTTGGTCTGATGTGTATATAACATGTGTCTTTGTATATAACCTACAAGTCGTAAATTGTGAGTAAATTTTAACGAAATTTGCTATGTTGATATATATTGGCCCAAGGACGAGTTTTGTTGATTAGACTGCTTTCGAGGCTCTGCAAGTATAACGAACCATTTTAGAAAAGTCATTATATAAAGAGAAGTTTTATTTATTGTTTTTTTGGATCGCCTAAGCCGAGGATCAACCTCTATGAAGAAAGTAGTAGATGAAGAATAATAAAATTTATGATGAGAAAATTAATTTTGGCAAAGTTTACACTCCGCACATCTACCGTATACGGATGTCTATGAAAAAGCGGGACTTTGCGTAGATATAAGATATCATCTTTGATATTTTATCCTGATAATGAATGACAACAAATATTGAAGGAAGCAATGTAAGGCATTTAACGGCCGACTTTTCCTGACTGTAATGTTTTTACGGGATGTTTCAATTATGCAATTTATTTTTCAGATTTACTATGCGATTTTGGGTGATTTGAACTTCCCATGCGTAATATTTGAAGTCATGTCGCACCAGTTGTTATGCTAAGAAATCTTTGTTTAATTATTTGAAGTGATCGTAGCAATTGTTTTCCTACTACTACTGCTAAGACTATTTTTTGCAGTTTAGTCATAGTACCTTTAAAAGTAGTCAAGCCAGTAGTTACGTTTAAGACGTGAAATCCGTTTTCAAGAATTCAAAATAGTCTCGTGGGACTTAAGGGACATAGCAGATGCACTAAATAGGACCGAATCAGGAACGAATGATGATAAGTGAGCACTACACAAGGAGAAGAAGTATAAGAAAGTGAATCGCTTTCTCGAATCATAATGATTTTCTAGGTGGGTGATATGATTTTATAAAGCGCCGCCTTCAGCGCTTCACGGTCATAGCACATGATTGCTTTGGCTTCAGGTTATCTATGCTATGTATGCATGTGCGGCTATCTATGCCATGCGTGAATGACGTCGTGCATATTATGTATGTGCACGAGTAGCTTGATATATGCTTGACGGCGCTCGGTAGTTGTTATTTTGTTAATTCACGTGGTTGTATTGCGAAATATATTTTTCCGTTTGCGTTAGTGTTAGCTGTGCAGAAATGTTCTATGACGGTGGATATAATCCTGGTAGAGCTTCTAAACTGTTACGAAATGTTGATGGCTTTTGCACGTTAAACGTGTGTATACTTCTATTAAAGAGAGTACAAGAGCGCCGGAAACGCCGCAATTAGAGGAAGTTTTCGGTGAGGAAACCATTTAGGTTTATGTTCATATACATGTACATACATACTTTTACTCGTTTCATTCCTTTTTTTTTTTTTTTTTTTTTTTTGATGCATCCGAAAAGAGTTTATTGAGTGTTCTGTACATAATTATGATATTTTGTGTTTTTACGAAACATGGGATTTATGATTGCCGGCTATAAGCTATCATATATAGCATGTAATTGGTTGTGCATTTTGTATTTTGGAAGTAAACTCCTAAGCCCGAGGGAAGATGTTTTTCAAACTTTTCCTCTGGAGAGAACACGTGTGATAATAAGGGCAAAATGGGTCTTATGGGTCTTATGCTTATGACTTCTATGACAAAATAATTTGTTGTTGTGTTTCTTTGACTAAATTGCTTTTTCACTTTTCTGAGCCGTGCTTCAGAGGCGACGGGGACAAGGAAAACTTAAGTGGACTACGGGTTACCACTTAACACTTAAATCGTTATCGATATAGCGATTTTCCGAAATAATGCACTACTTTGAATAGCATTCGTCCTTAGGCCAAAACAGGTTGGTGTATCAACCACAGACAGATAAACAAATTTAGATTGATCCAGGAAGAAAGAAATGATAGTTGATATAATTTAAGAAAGGGAAAATCTTGCTTTAGAAAGCGACTCTGAATTGAGTGGTACAGCGAAAGATGAGTCCATATTACGCCCGTTCAAGTGTTGTACACGTCCGCGTAATGTCAATACACCACAAGTTTCACAAGTGATGTAGAGTGTAAAAAGAAAAGCTATTCTCGTGATATCCGAAAAAAATGGAATTTTATTGTAATCACCTTTAATCACATACTCGTGTTTAAAATATAAAGACAATAATGTTAGAATTGCACATCAGGTAACTGCAACGTTTTTTTAAAAACATTTAACCTTAATAAGAAATACAGCAAATACAATTGATTTCCGTTTTTTGATGGCTTAATATTGTTTTTTTTTTTTTTTTTTTTACATTTCAGCGATGGATACAAAATTAGATGCTAGACAAGGACAATTTCCGGCCTCATTTCCGGATACGTTTAAAAATTATTTCACTATGATGAACGAAGATGAAGACCACATGGAATTGTTTTCTAATTTGTTGGAAGATAAGGTAATCGTTTAAGAAAATGCATTTAAAGAGTTTTGCGAAAATGTTTTTGTTAAAAAAGTTAATTTTCCGAATATAACTGGAATACTATATACTATGTATATATATATGTATTTTATGTAATGCATAATCTGAAAATCCGCACTGTCTATCTGAATATCGAACTACTGATTTCATTAATTTTAATGCTACTCTTTACTCTTTAGCACTTGGGGAGGAACGGAGGTTGTAAAGATGGACGCACGTGTCATGTTCGTGAATATGGGTAGGGGGCGGCAAGAGATTGTACACTTTTGTTCCACCGACATTCCGTAGACGGTGACCATTGAAACAAACACGCTTGCTTCACCCTTGTAAGATCAAACGGAAAGCCGAAATTTACCTACCGAACGAACAAATCATAAGCCATGGGCCATTCTTTACTCCATCCTACCCAAGGTCGACTTCGACCCACGATTGGGAATGGGAGATTCTCATACATATGTGCACTTATTTCACTTGTTAAGTATAATATCAGGTGGTGAAGGATGAAATTTTTGTAAAAATTCATCTTTTTCGCTTCGCGGATTTGAGCTAAATGAGTTCAATGCAATAATAGCTTGCAAACGACCAACTTCAACTTCATAATTCTTTGGTACTTTAAGTTCATTCAGATTCAAGGGTGATTTATTGTTCCCCATTATTGATCATTGATTTTTCTGGGTGATCGCGCGGCTTACTTGTGAGCTTAAAGATGACTGTAAGAAATTTTCGACCAAGTAATTGCAGACTTGACGAAAGGGGAGAATTTCTTCAAAATTGACACTTGAACGCGTTAGATGCTTTCTTCTCCATACATAGGTATACAACGAGTTTACTGTACCGCTGTCTTCTTCGACTTTTATCCAACCTCCCAAGTGAGAATCATGAGATTTTCTCAATTATTTAAAATTCACCGATTCTATAGCCGATTTTTGTCTTAATTTTTTCTTAAAAAATAATATTTGACGCGGGCTAAAGTCAAAATATTGTAAGGAACACACGATATTTGCAAAAGTTGAAGTTATGCTTCCAGAAAAATATTAGTTTGTTTTTCCAGGAGAGAAATTGTGACAACTAGTGATTTGTTTTAAGACTTGTACTTTCAATTACATCAACAAATTTTTTCACCCACCTATTATAATATCGATCTATTCGTAATCACTTTCTGAAGGAATCTAAGCTTCGTGTCTGCATGTCCGCGTTGTGCTTAATATATTTGTCGCAAATTTTTGAGCTAATTTAGTGAAATTTGGTACACTAACCTGTTTTGGCCCAAGGACGAACACTATTGAAAATAGTTCGGGTTGGACCACTTTTCCGACCACTTACCAAATAAAAATTTATTTTGGAAAATTGTTGTATGAATCGCTGTACTGTATTAAATCCAGTTGTGTAGGGAGTTTTGGGGTGTGTTGTCAGTGAGCCGCGAATACGCTCGTATTTTTTTTTTCTAGATAATTTTGGGCTATTTTAAGTGAAAAGAAGAACAGGTGACTTTTTCTATTCATTAGTAAGAAATAAGTAAAATATAGCCTCGATAATGGCGTCTAATAAGTGTACTCAGTAATATGATTTCTTCGGCTGAAGCTGAATTGCTATTCACAAATTTACAAATTAATCAAAACATTGTCTTGAAATCTATACATATATATATTTTTACTTAATACTTAATTTTACTCTAGATCTGCCTTCCTTCTGCCTGCGTGTAAATGTTCAAAATTAATCATGCGAATATCTGAATATGTGAATTCAATTGAGCTACAAGAATGTTAAAATTTAAGCGTATGACGATAGACGTAAGGTAGAATTACTTTTTGAAATTTTTTTTTTCGTTAAATCGATGAGGGATAAAAACAGATATTCGGTCTAATCAAAGGCATTCAAGTCAATTCAACTTTAATGCTTTTAAGTATTCGTTACTTTAAAGTAGTATTTTACTTAAATCTACGCCACCACACACGTTTAATATGGAATAATATCAAATTCTGTGTACATCTTTCTCTTTCTCTTTCTCTTTTTATTTTTATTTTTTTTTATGTAATTATTTTAGTTTTTCCTTTTTGAGAATAACAACAGATATGTCTACAAATGTATTTACCTTTTCCTAACTTCGAGCACATCCTTATGTATGTATGTATGCATAGACATATAAAATGGATTTCGTTCAGTGCATTACCACTGTGCTTGCAGTTGTGTAAGAGTTTGGATATGAAACCTTTGCGAATTACGTATAGCTATGCAGTAGATTTGTTGTCAGTTAAATTACGTTAGATCTGATATATATCAGGGGATATGATAAATTTGCTTTAAAGTAGCAAATGTCAAAGTAATCTTTGAGAATTCTTTCCGAAATTTAAAGAGTAATAATGCGTACAAATAAAATAAAGAATTTGTTCATTAATCTTCGTTCTAGTAAATTATAGTCAACTTTATTACTTTAATAAGTTTTAAAAAAAAAAAAAAACAAATATATAAACATACGAGAAGACCTTAATAAACTCTGTAAACTGCAATAAATATAATAAACAGAGTAGAGACTTGTGATTTCTTTTAGTAAGACTGTTGTGAACGTTATTGCAAACGTAAGGAATATAATCCTCAATATGAAAGTACAACGAGCTCTCTATTTACAATATGAATAAGAGTCTGAGCAAAGAAACAATAAACTTGCTAATAAATATATAAACATGCAAAATAAAGAGGACTATTAAGTCTGCAAGTTATTCTTCCTTTGTGGCGATCTTTTATGTGTACCTAAGAATACATACATATATATATATGCATTTATGTAAATGAAATCTTGCAGTATCTGCCGTATCAAGCGTATCTGCGGTGATGCACAATATGTACGAAAGACGGTATAACCTAACCATAAATTATTTGCACCGTTCGTTTGATTAGCTAATAAACTTCATGAGTACATTTGTGTATGTGTGCAGTTGACAATCTTGGGAACATTGTTATTCTTGCAGGTAATACCACGTGTGAATACAAATCAATTTCAGCAAAGACGTTACGGTGGCAGTTTACGATGCTCGACTAATCCTCGTAATCGACATAATTTAAGTTGCAGTCATGTTGGCGACAAAGGACCAGGAGAGGCGGATATACATGGCAGTGCTGTTCATCATGTAGGCCGTTCAAATTCTTTTCGTTTTAACAGGCCACGAAACAATGCCATCAGTTCGAGTAATAATTTGTTGAATAATTTCGCAACGCCTGAACGCACAACATCTGTCTGTGGTGCTGGTGGAGGCACCGCCAGCGTATCTGCTGCTGGCGGCGGTCTTTTGAATAGTGTCAAACTGGGTGGCAGTAGTAATAATTTATTTTGCAAGCACATGAAATACTGTTGCTTACATCAGCCACAACATCAGCAGCAGAAGCAAAAAATCGCACTTCAACAACAACTACCTTTGAAAAGTTCCAGTCAACAGCAACTATTTCAACAGCAGCCCACTACTTTATCAGCATTACAATATCAAAAGCTGCAACAGCAGCAATTTCAGCCGCAAAATACTTATCATTACGATTATAGCAGCAGCAGTACACGTTTGGGACCAGACGGCGAAGATAATGCCGGAAGCTCAGCCATGAGTAATATAACAAATTATTTGGTCAATGGTCAAAAACAACTTCCGCATCATCCTCAATCGCAGCAGCAGCAGCAACAGCACCAACAACAACAACAACAACAACACCAACAACAACAGCAGCAGCAGCAGCAGCAACAATCGGTTTCATCTGCAACTAGTCAACAGATAATCAAACAACCGCCACAAAAGCGTCATTCAATTATTTTGGAACGTGCTTTCGACTTTGGTAAGCAGCCTGAACAATGGAAAAACAAAATAAAATAATTTAAAACAAATATCGAAACGAAAACAGAACATAGAATGAAAAAAAAAAAAAAAAAAAAAAAAAAAATTTTTTTGGGGGGTTTTGTTGGGGGTGTAACAAAACACGAGTAAAATTTTCCTTTTTTTTTTTTTTTTAATATCTAGGCCAAATGGCTTTAAGCTTCAATGAATGTTTACAGTCTCTTTAATCGCAAACGAAGTGTGAAATGAGTGAACTGAATGGATTTCAAAAGGAACAGGTATAAAAACTGGACAGTTACTCAATTGCTTTCTCGTAAGGGAACGCTATGATTAAATCAAATTTGAAATCAATTTTCGAACAAACTGAATATTAGCCGATAGCTGCTTTTAAAACTATGTTGGATTTGCCAACTTGTGCTTGCGGTGAACGGCATTTACATAGAATTCTGATGACTTCTCAAATCGCACGTTCTTTAAAAAGTTAATTTCATTTCATTGTAACGTTTTATTGTACCATTTATCACTACTAACTTATACGTTACGGCCCATACGCGCTTGACGCAACCATCATTCGTCAGCTTTGATTCTTATAGGGGGCACAGTCATTACTGATGAACATATTTACTCTTTATGGGCGCCAAGAAATCAATTAATTGATGATCTCGAGATAAGCGTTTCCCCTTTCTATTAAGATATATCCCAGGAAGTATACTAGAAGTATAGTAAAGAAGTAATTTCGATCTATTAAATAAAAAATCTTTCTCTTCTTAATACGTAACATAAAATTTAATGCATTGTTTTCCGAATATCTTTTTGGTCATACTTCTGGCAATTTTAAATATTCTTCCAACTAACTAAGGCCTGGAAATTAGCGCAACATGCATTGTGCTCTTAAAAACACTGGTAACTGAAACAACGTAATTTCAGCCAGTAGGAGAGCGCAAGTCATTGCTAACGATCATCGGTGAGGTTGATCGGACGGTTTCTTTCGTAGATCCGTAAGATTTGTTAAATGGTTAGAGCGTACCTTTTCAATTCTCGCCAATTCTTGCCTTTATCATTAATATGTCCCATACGACATTTTCCCTATCCTGAAGGGACTCGGATTACTCTATCAAAGACTCTTGATAGACTAATTTTCTATTAAATATCGTCTTTAATCCGCCTGAGTGGCCGAGTAGGCAAGAGTCTCGACTAGCAACTCAATAGTCGTGGGTTCAAACCTCAAGTGCGGTAGAGTTTTTTAATAAAAAAGCCGATAGCCCTAGATGCTAGTGCTTTAAGACTTTAGTCTTAGAATTTATTCTCTGGCTAAATTTATAATAATAATAATAATAATAATAATAAATATCGTCTTTCAACGCGACATGAGAATGTCTACCAATCTGTCTGTCCGACGTTTGCCTAAATACGTGTGTAATGAAATATACAAAAGATTGGAAAAATCTTTATATGGAAAAAATTTGCAATTTTTAATGTCATTGAAAATAGTTTTTCTGGCCTACTAAACGCATGTGGCAAAGTCTTTCAGTATCAAAAAGGTTAAACTTCTGATATGTTACGATGAAAATAGGTGAAAAATGTTGTTAGACGCGGTGATGTTTAATACTCGGCCATGCCGGGTTACAATGCTTTAATTCCCTTTTCCTTTGGCAATATTGATTCAAATCAAAGGGCACGAGCTCATTGTGCATAAGAAGCACATGTTGTAACATTACTCAGTTTTGTTAAATGAATTTATTTCCATTCAAGTAGACTGTAAATATTGATGTTTTTAAGCACGCCTATAATATTATTTTTTATTATTATTATCATTATTCAATTTAAGCTGTATTCCACGTAAGCCCAATCACAAATCCCAAGTAACTCCTTTTAACAGTCTTCAGCTTTCTTTTCCTTTAAAAAAAAAACGAATTCATAAAGTTATTCACAGTTTGATCAAACCGTAAGTAAAAGTAAGTAAAAGCAAATATTTCATTTTAAAACAATCGGGACGCAATCCTTCTTCTGCTAACTGAATAAAACGCGGCGATATAATATAGGCTTTCATCAATGTTCTGAGCAATATCACTGTGAAGTCGTTCTGTTTATAGTTCGCGTAATTTTGTTAAATAGCACACCTAACTAATATGAAAGAGTTTTAGTGTACAATGGTAACATAAGGTTAGAAAAGCTATAGCATGAAAGCATGGAAATACATAGTTTTCCCTTATTATTAGTGACTGGCGGTCATAAGCCCCAAAGTACGATTATTTATGTGAATGTTAACAAAAATTGTGATTCTTGCAATAAGTATACAATTACTAAAGTATAAATTGTGTGAAATATTGAATTCCCTTAGTTGTTCGATCCTTTTTATATTGTTTACATTGACTTAGCTTGCAATTAAACAATAATTGGCAATTATCAGCAATTATATTTAACTTGTAAATATTTTCATTATTTCTTGAAAAATTATTTTCTTATTCTCTTTTATAGTAAATTCACACCCAAATCAATACTCAAATTGTTCGCTCGCGCTCACAGACCGATTCGAAAGTTACATTAATCATATAATAGCCAGATATTTTAGTTTTGTGATAAAAAATAAGATAGCAATAATAGACGATTAGAAAGGGGGAGGAAAAGTAGTTTTTCATTTATAATATAAACCGTCGAAGAAGCCATTCTCTCAATCTCGGCTGCACATGTTTTCGCTATTTTTTATTATTTTTATTATTTACGTTCACAATATTCCTGGGGAATGTCGTCTATCTATGTTAAAATTCTCAATTGCTTGCGAACTGCGCAATTATTCCAAGTTATATATATACGTCTTCTCGATCAGTGCAAATCACTTCGCTGCGTAATAAAACGAACATTAGCTTTGTTAAAACAATATATTTTCCGGAGCAAAGAAAAGAACAAAAAAAAAAAAAAATAGAAAGAATCTCGGCCAAGCTAGTTCATCGTATGCTTTATTTAAAATGGGTTTGAAATTTATTTGTTCGATCGAATTAAATGAATTAAAAGGTGGTCAGCGTTAAAAATCGCTTTCCAGTGGATGTAATCGTCAACAATTAGCAAAGTCTTCACTTTGCCACGTATACGAGAAAAAGAAGAAAATTGTTTTCAATTACGATTTCGTTCTCTAGTAACTGATGAAATACATGCTCGTTATTGAAACTAATTAACTCATACGTACCGTACGCCGTACATTTTACACGTTTTCAAAAATTCAATTAAAATGCTTTTGATTTCTTTGTATATTTTTGCTTTTGGTTTTTTCTTTGCTTTTGCTTTTGCTTTCTCTGGCATGCAAATACATCACCCACAACATCGCAGCCATTGTAAATATCAGATACTTATCATTTCATATAGAGTTGTTTACCGTGGCTACATATGTAGAGTTTCGCACATATGAACTATTGTCTCTGTTTATGGGTGTACGAATGCTAACATGGATGCCTGCATGACTGAATTCAATATAATAGAGCATGGTAAGGCATATAGTAGTGAACGTCGCGACATAATTAATTTTGCAATTTTACACGTGACAATAGTAACATTTTCATTATACGGTGAGCATATGATTGACGAGTATGTTTGTTGACGACGTGTAGTAAGCACACAAACGTGAATGATAAAGCGAACGATTTCCAATTTAAGTTGATTAGAATATTGAAATATTTACATAAGCTTATGTACCTTATCTGCTATAACACAATGACACGTTTTTCTTTCTGCCGTTCTGCGAAAAAGTTACCACGAATTGATCAAAGAATTTGAAAGAACTTTTTCATTTATACTCGGGTAATGTTTGCGAAATTTGTTTGTTTATTTGTAATTTCTCCTACCTCTTTAGATGCCAGTTGTGATGAGAGTGACACAATTAGCTCAACATCGTCTACTCCGCCAACTACGAACATTCCATATACTGTGCTCAAACCAATTTTGAAACAACCGCATCAGAGTCAAAATCATCAAATAAAACAACAACAACAACAACAACAACAACAATCACATCAGCAACCACCAAATACCACCATAGTACCAAAATCAATACTAAAAGATAGTACACAACAGCAACATCAACATCAACATCAACATCAGCAGCATCGTTCTTTACCACAGCCACCGAAAAATGCTGGTATCGGTGCTTTTCATACAAAAGAGACGGCTTTGCAAAGAGTCCAACAGCAAAGCGGTTTAATAAGAGTGAATAGCAAAAGCAATCTATCGTCATTATGTGGAACTGCGGCAGCGTCAATAATATCAGCAATAACAACTACTAATGCAACGGTAGCTACAACAACGACAACTACGAATGTAACTACCTCAGGCACCACAAATCATTATCAGTTATGTGGTATGGAAAATAGAAGTATTAGTGTATTTAATATGAGTTCCACAGGAAGCGTTGTCGGCGCCACAACATTGATGATGACAACTGGCATCAATAACAACAATAATAATTCCGCTTTGGGCAACAATTGCAATAATAGCTCAACTAGTGCAAATAAAATGGGTGTCAACAAGCAAACAGCATACAGTGAAGATGAGCAATTTATAGATTATCCAGAAAGCAGTGGGACGGCGGGAGGCGGTGCCGGCGTTGCTTATAATTTTAATCAAAAAACAAATGAAAACAGAAATAACATCATTGTAAGTTATTCAACAATTGAAAATAATTCATTTTTAGTAACGATTTCTTTCTTATCTTCTTATTTTTTCTTTTCTTTTCTCATTTTCTTTTTTCTCTTTTTCATTTCATTTAAAAGAACTTGCGTCAACAAAAATCGCCTGTTTTAAATAGACGACGTTCATCATCGATTGCAACAGCTCTTCTCTCAACCGATTATAGTTACAGTCATGGCAATGCAACAACAGCAGGAAATTCAGCTGACGCCACGAATCAAGAGACAAATACAACCTTGACGCAAACTAATACGTACACTAATGCACGGTACGTAAAATTTTGATGAAATTTTAAACAATTATCGCTATACAAAAAATTGCGGTATCACTTCGGCATTAATATCGTTCGTAACGATTAGAAAGAAGCGCATCAGAGATATCACAATCTGTGTTATACAGTGTCGTCCATATTAACCAGGCGTTCGTTCGATCGTCATTGCTATTTTGTTCGCACGCGAAGAGGACGAGTCAGAAAACTGCAAGTCATGATAAAATGAATTCTTAGTTTAATTTTCAAAGTCGGATTTGAAAATGGGTCTAATTTGCGCCTTTTATAGAATAGAAATTTAAAAAAAGTGGACATTAACGGAAGGCCTTGTCAATAACTTGAAATCTACAAGACAAATTGATTTAAAATGTAGTCCCTACGCGCCATCTAAGAGTGCGGACAAAAAATGAATACGAAGAAATTAATGAATGAATTAATGTACACAATTAACAGGCAGTCTCGTCATTATAATACGCTTTTTTGTGTTCTAACAATGCAACATATCCAAGATTCGTCTTAAGACGACTATGTGCCACCATATATAAGTATTGTTGCAAAAAAAAAAAAAAAAAAAAAAAAAAAAAAGGAAAAGGGAAAGGGAAAGGGAAAACTAGAGCAAAGCGACTTAGGTTAAAAACAAAACTGTACATCAATTCGATGAAAAGCTTGGATAAATGAATAATTTACAAACGTTTTAATCGCTTTTTACAAGTTTGAGAATTTCAGATAAGTTATCTTTTGTATTATCACGAATACTCGAATTGCCGATAATGCCGTTCGTTTAGTGTAGTAAGCTTGGTGCAAATGAATTTGTTGCAACTAAGACCAAGTTTGAGTTAATATTCCAATAATATAATGTTGTTATTATAATTAAACGGAGTACTTTAAGACTTTGTCATAATGAAAAGCGGACTTTTTTTTGTAATATTTATATCTAACGTCAGACGCAAAGGGTCAGTAGATCTTATAGTTTTATTTATATATATATATGACTTGGTTTATCTGCGTTTGAACAAAGAACAAAAGCATAAAGTGTCTTGAGACCCTACTAGGAATATTAATATTTATACGTCCGAACAAAGCAGGCAAAGCAATGTCATCCGTCTATAGCTTACACAATAACATTAAATGCAACATTTCAGGTCTTTTCGCTAGAGTAACTAAACAAATCAACTTCAATCGGTTTTTATACGGTGGAAAAGGCAAGGCGGGATACCACTCCAAACCACACGAAGCAAATGATATGAGATCATGTTGAACAGACTGGAGACTGGAGATCAACGCTGTATCGGTAACTAAGAAGCCAAACAACTAATGACTATTCTAGTACTGGTCTAACTGAAGCTGTAAACCCGCTCTTGATAGCATAGCGATTATTAAGTTCTTTAGACGATTTTTTTTTTTTTTTTTTTTGAAAACCCAGTGAGGCACCTAGCTTTATTAACTGAAACCTCAACATGGATATCAAACCTGAGTTTCGAATCAAAAACATCACCTAAATCTTTACAGTTGGATACGTATGCCAGAACGTAGTTATCAATACGATGAGAGGGGGGCAAGATATTACTCCAGGCAAGCGACAGCTTCTTACATTTTTATTGAATTCAGTACCATACGATTAGCGTGCAGGTTAAGAAGATCAAACTGCAGAAGATTAACATTATACAATTAGTCAGTTTCACGTCATCCGCCAAAATTGAAACACTGGTGTATTCAAGGCACTCGCTAAGGTATATTATAAATAATATATAAATGAAAGTAGCCCAAGATGGGTACCCTGAGGAATACCAAAGATAACGGAACTAAACAATACACGTTGCGTGCGGCCAGCGAGATAGCTACTAAGCCGTGTCGCTATGTTATTCGAAAAACCAAGACTGTGTAATTTATAAACTAAGAAATCATGAACGACTCTGTCGAAAGCTTTTGAAAACTCGGTGAAAATAACATCAATTCGCTTGTGCTCGAACAATGCCTTAAAAATTTGCAAGTTTGGTAGAAGTTAAGGTTATTCTTAATTAGACATTCGGCTGTGAACGAATCTTTTGTTTCCTCGCCCTTTTTATTGCAAGGAAATCAAAAAATAAATGATTCGATCGATACTCTCCCATATGGAATGAGTGCGATTGTCAGCTTTTATTTATGTATGTATCCCTGAAAAGTTTTATCGTTATATCTGCTGTTGTTTATAAGTAATAAGCAAAAAAAAAAAAAAAAATAAGTTTTATGCTTTCGTCCCGTCCCTTGACCGATTTTGTCAATTTCGAGTACCAATGCTGCCTGTAAGAAGCTTCAATGTTCTTGTTATTTTTAAAGTCGATGTCTCAATGTTTACAAAGCAAGAGAATATTTACCGCAGAGAAATACGATCCTACACAGGTGATCGAACTCACACGCCTAGATTGATTTAGAAGTTGATATCGATCACGCTTTGCGGGCCTTGTAAACCTTTTACTAAAATAAATACCACGCCCCAGTTTCTTTGGGTGATGGTTATAAAAAAGGTTTGACTTCACGCTCGCCCTGACTATCTGATGAATGTATATAGTATATTATACAGATTTTTCATGTTTGTATTATGCACAATATTTATGAACGATGTCAACAACAGTAGACATATATTTTGGGTAAAACTAAAAAACATTAATTAAGTTGGTGAAGTTGAGAAATAAATTTCGAAAAAAAAAAAAAATTAAACATCAAGCATTAATTTTTCAATTTTCATATCTAACGAATTGAAAAAACTTAGAACTTCATTGCATTGAACTTACAAATGTCATGTCACAAGGCAGCGTAAATGTATTGACTAAAGTGTATTGTGTATTGTCTAAAGGCTCCGATCAATCACTTAATATAGTTGTAATTAAAAAACACAAGTCTAATTATTGCTTGCTTGTTTCGAATGTTAAGGATGAGCATCCAAAATTAAGGCTAACAAATCAGGTAAGTATGTGCAATACATCAAGTATAGTTAGTTATAAGTACTATAGAGTCTCAGTCGCAACAATTTTCGTTGTTCTCGCATGCATTTGCAGTTTTATATTTCGTTCGAATGATTCAACTAAAAATGCTTTGGTCAATCTATAGCTGTCAATGTCAATCTGTTTCGAGAATAAAAATCACAAAAAATTCCTAGGTGCGAGTGCTTATGTTGATCACTTGGTAGGCTCTTAACAGCATAAGCATTACAAACGGGATGAAAAATTTATCTCTACGATATTTATCGAAAGTATATTGTTAAGCAGAGAGGTATGCGAAGTAGTGGAATAGCGGAATCTGTGTAACAACCGTTACTATGACACGGGTTCGAAACCTTCCATACATTGGCTATTTCGTAATATACAGATGGTGTAGTATGAGAACAGAAATTATCCAATTTATTTAATTATTAACATAAAATATTTATTAGGTAGTCCGGAAATTTCTTGCGATTTTGTATTATAAAAAAGAAGAATTATTTATTTTTTTTTTTTTGAATGAATTAAGTTTCTCTGCAAGCTCATGAATCGTTATGTGTTCATCAGCTTCAATCATACCCTTTACTTGGTCGTCATCAATAGTATTTGGCCTTTCACTTGGTAAAGTTTCCACTGAAAATTTCCAGAACGTAACTTCGCGAACCGATTTTAGAAAGTGTGTTTTGCTACCGCATTAGCTCCATACACGGCACATATTACTCGCTATGCTAGTGCGGCTCTGTTACCTTTCTTCAAATAAACAAGGGCAAGGCCGACCTTTAAATATCCTATACACAAATTTTTGTATGAAATTACTGTTATGGGTCAATTTTCATCACCACATATTAAAACTTAGATTTTTCTGCTCTGTAAAGGATCAATTTTTGTGAAAATTCTTGTCAGGGTAGAATCCAAAAAATAGGCAGAGATTTTCCAAATTTGGTAAAGTTAACTTTTTTATGTTAAATTATTATTATGACATAATTTTCATCATGAAGCATTGAAAGTTATATGATTTTGTCATATGAACCTCAGTTTTCGTTAGATGACACGGGTTCCAAAAGCCGATCCAAAGTTTTCACAACAATTTACAATGCCGAAATACTACTACTTAGTCATTTTTGTCAAAAAATTTTAAAATTTGCAGTTTTTTTCCATACAACGACTTTATTCGCACTATTTTCAATGGTGTTCGTCCTTGGGCCAAAGTACATCTGTGTACAAAACGTCATCGAAATATCGCAAAAATTACAACCTGCAATTCGAGCGCAAAAATACGTGGACAGACCTCAGACGCACAGATAAACAGAGAGGCTTAAATCAATTCAGATTATAATTCTGAATCGATCGGTATAATAAAAGGTGGATTTGTCTTAAGCCCTTATGCGTGTTACATACGTCTGCACTAGCTTGATATTGTCTGTACCCTGGTGTAGAGTACAATTAAGGGGACCTAATTTGAACCTCCACTCCACATAAGATATCTCATGACATCTTAATAATTCATAGGAGTGTTTCAGAAAATGATATTAACGGTAGGGAATTTGGATCATGTATGCCTTTATTTTCTGGATACCCACTTACGTAGACGCTTTTACGAAACGCAAACGCTTATATGGAGAGAATATCTAATCTTCCAATATGCGGGCTGCCATGGAAATTATGGCTTTGCATGAAAGTGTGTACTTTTTGGAGTATTATTACCAAAACTAGCGAATAACTCTACGAAACGAAATAGTCGGTGTCGCCCGACTATAATGTTCTCACTTGTCTAAAAAGTGTTTTTCAAATAAAAATTATTTGCGTATTGGCGTTGTGTGCTTCTAAGGGTTCATCATTGTTTTGCCTCCCACGATCGCCGATATTAAAGTGTGTTATTCATTTGTAAGTTTCAGATATTTTTCCACAAATTCGGCGTCAAAGATTCGCTTTAAAGCTAATATGAATTTTTTGATGTTATATATGCTTGAGTTTTGTATAAATACTCGTTTAAAATTAATCGGAAATAGTGATAGAATAATAACCCGACAAATGCCATTATAT